ACCAAGATACTGAGGAGACTTGGTTACTGTGTCCAGATAACCTGCCCACCTGAGAGCTTGTCTCGAGATTCCACATGCGGAGAGTACAGTCGGATGATGCAGATACTGTTTGTCTCCCATCTGGCGAAAAGGCTACCGAGAGAATAGGGTCAATGTGTCCTTAGCATGTTATGCCCACCTGTGAGCTCGTCTTCGCATCCCAAACACGAAGAGCCGCGTCAGAGGAGCCCGATGCGATCAACTCACTATCCGGTGAGAAAGCAACTGCATTGATGGAAGGCCGATCCCACAATGACCAGCACAGTTGAAGGCCGCCTTCCGGGTCCCACACGCGAATCGTTCCATCCTCCGAGCCTGATACGATCCGTTCACCGTCGGGGGAGAAGGCCACGGACAAAACGGGGCCAGTATGGCCACAGTGTTCTGCCACCTCCAGACCCTTCTGAGTTTCCCACACACGAACGGTATTATCATACGAACCGGATGCAATCCGCTTCCCATCTAGTGAGACTGCAACTGAGCTAACCGGACTGCGATGATCTTCGAGAGTTCTGCCGAGCTGCAAACCTGTCTCTGCGTCCCATATATGAATAGTCTTGTCATACGATCCCGACAAAATCCGCGTTCCATCCGGGAAAAATGCAACCGACAGCACTAAGGAAGTATGCCCTCTCATGGAAACCTGGACTTTTGGCCAGTGAACGGGACCTCCGGAGGCAACATGAGCAATCCTTGGAAACATGGAAGAGAATCTCGTAGGCAAGAGCGAACTCGTAGGTGAATACGGGAGTGCAGAGAGATACAGGTGCGGAGTGCTTTCTGAGATGACACCCCCCGAACATTCGGATAAATTTCAGAGTGTCAATCACCACGGCGAAAGTATGACACTCTTCATTTGTCTGCGAAATGGGGACCTTGGTAAAAATCGATCAGGCAAAAAGCACGAACTACTTACCACCAACCACTTCGCTACCCTGAGGAGCGCACCAGGTGTGGCGCTGAGTCCATTGAGGAGACCGAGTATTTCAATCCAAAAGAGAACTCGCACATCGTTGAACAGCTCCCCGATTTCGGCTGCAAGCCGTGAGTCAAAGGCACTTGCTGGTGCGTGACTGGTCCAGTGACGGCAAGAGTAGGATAAGTGAGGTGAGACGTAGTACTTGATGCGCTGATCTAAACCACCGATTTCTGTGTTGCACAGGTACGAACTGTCCAATTGGCATATGTTGAAACGCAAACTTTCGCGCATGACGCGCAGCGAAGCTAATGAGAGGTCCAGATGACCCTGCGACAAATCAACGAAGAAATCTTGGCTTCGGTCGAGGTCAGTCAGGTAGTCGTAGAAGGATGAATGCAGGGGGCGGACAGGGATGGATGAATCTGTGATACCACTCGGGAGAGAAGCCATAGGGCGGAGTATTATCTGAACATCGTAGTGGTCTGTCACTTGAGCGACCCTACAGCGCATGGCGTTCAGGGAAGCCACTGGAAGAGGTTCTAGCGTCCACAGGATTTGTCGCATGACAGAATGGAATCGCTGACGTGCCTTGGTCGGTTTGTCGATAATATCGCTAAGAATTACATTGTACATGTCGTCTAAAAGCGTCCTGCTTTCTTCCGGGGAGTGTGAGATGAGATCCTCAAACCGTTCTTTAGCAGTAACACCCCCTTTATGAGACTTGATGAACTCGCAAGCAAGACGAGCCCATTCGAAAAGACCATCAGATTTCTTCGCCAGCAATGTTAGGTCATTGTCTGGGAAGGTGTCGTTCAGGTTCCGCAACTTGTCAGTGATGAACAAACAAATATCACGTTCGGCGACGGTCGCAGAGGCAGTATCCATGGACCAGAGTTTAACGTGTTTAGCATGGTGCAGCGCATTGTGGATGTCGGGCAACGGCCGGGAGGTGATCAGAATGCGAAAGTTCGATGGAAGCTCGGCCATCTGTGTGGAAGTCAAGATACCAAGAATGTGCTCTCGAGTCGCTTCCGAGCCGCTTTCATCTAGCGTATCGATGACAATCACCACATTGCCGACAAGCGCACTCGGAAGTCTCGATACGGGTTCCAAGACAAGTTTCTGCCACTGCTGTGTGACATCAAGAGTGCCTCCCAGTGAATTGTCGGTCGCGATTGCATCTGCTAAGAGAGGTTTTAGCCTTATATCACGGTCGGCCATGTCGCGTGCAATGGTCGTGAATAACTTGTCGTGACGGCGTTCTGCTTGTCTGTCTCGTGCAAAACAAAAACACGAGCCGAGCCTGCCTAGTTCCTTATAACGCAGAGCAATAGTGTGAGCGATCGCAGATTTTCCTACGCCTGCTTGGCCAAAGAGCCAAAAGACGCGAGAAATACCAGGCTCCGGGGCCTCAATCCAGTCAACAATCTCAGCTAGAATTTCGACTCTTGTTCCATTCAAGCACTTCTTTGTCGTATTCAGCCCAGCTCCGGCTGCGTATGCAATACCTTCAAGATGCAAGACTTCCTCTATGTGAAGGTAAGTGCTAAACCGAAATTTCCAAAAAGGCTGCTAGAAACTTACCAACTCGCGCGAGCTGGCCGTGGACTCCATTACTGTGTTCCAGCATCTGCTGAATACCTGTATGAATATCGCGTATCGCATAGTCGCGAAATTGCTGCATCAACCCGTCCAATGCTGTATTGTAGCCAGAAACGATGGAATTCGTTTCGGATACAACGTTCTTGCCTAATCTAACCCCTGTTTGGAGTGTGAGCTGCAGCTTGACTCGGTAAGACTGATCAGCGCACAAAAACTCTTAGTCTCGGAATAATTGCCGATAAACTGGCCACATTCCCTCACTAACTGGGCGATTTCTAAGAGCGAATCCTTCATTGACGCGAACTTGGCTGACGTCTCTTCCTCCATAAGGAGTTTATAAGCCCTGCTAATCTTCGAAAGCAGAGCAGACATTGCTATATCGAGGTTCACTTGTGAGATGATTATCTGTCCCAAATCATCTCAGCTGAAAGGTTTCCGCTATCTGCGATCCACTGCACAGCACCTGTGATGTCCAGGACAGCACGCCGAGAGAAATTTTGGCGTATGAGTGAATCTGTTTATGTATGAGACAAATAGACATACGTATACTGCCCCAAGAGCCAACACGCACATTTGATATAGTACTGAGGAATGCGTCGAAGACCTTTAGCGGCTGGCTCTAGCCGTATTTGTGAAAAGTTTCCCCGGAGACGCTCGGGGTCACCCCGCGGCGCAGACGCAACGGCTGGATCAGTAACGTCCTCATTTGTGATCTGTGAGGAGGTATATATCAATATACAGGCACCATAACTCGAAGCACGGAGTGAAAGCACCTTCCTGGGCTCTCCAGTCGAGCTTCCTTCGACAGTGAGGTCGGGCTTGCCCGAGGCACCGTCATCATGCTCTGGGTGAACTAGTAAAGGCTACATGCGAATCTGAGTGATATACCTTCTAACAGAACTCGAAAATGATTTACACCTCCGCGACTACCTCCCTCGTTGGCGTCGGAATTATCAGATCTTGAATTACGCACCGAAGGTGTATTGGATGGGAACCTGAAGAACTGTACGCAGCTGAGCGCTCTCAAACGACCTGCTACCAATACGCGACTTGACGTACTTAGGTGAGGAAACCCTGATGTCCCTTGGATGCAACCCGTTGCTCTGCGAGTCCCTCCGGTGCTGAACCTACAAAGTGCAAATACAAGACGCGCGCTTACTTGGCGAGCTTCGTGGCTTGTGACCATCAACTTGCCTGCTATTCGCCGACGCCAACCTTTCACACTAACTTTTGAGGCATCATTTCGTTCCATGAATGGAATGTTGCTGTACTATGGAGAATTAACTGCGATCAAGAAGATAAGCGCTCGGTGCCCAGCCTGAGTAGAGGCTATGCACGCGAAACATGCAGTGATGGACTCCCTTTCCATTGTTGACTTCCAAACTCCGGGAGAAAGGGATCATAATTCATGGGACCAAGTTGGTCGGGATCACACTTCACCACTTTTGGTGTTTCTACACGCATGCCCGCCCGGCGTCAGCCCTGTATCATATCGAGAAGGTGGTGATCTGGGAGCAGCAGCGAGTTAGCGCAAGTGGGTGTACAGCAAGGTTGGGACAGTAAGCTGAGTGCATGGTCCGAATGGCGTAACTAACATCGACCCTCCGTAGTGTTGTGTGGTGGCAAAATCCTTGAAGAGTGTGTCGATCGGATACCTGCACAAATTCTCATTTATGATGCCTTAGTATGCCCATCCTTTCCGCGCTCTGCGACCTCCAAGTATTCTTCCCCACAGAATACGCGCCATGGCCCACTAGCCTGAGTTTTCTTTGTTTAGGACACTACAATGTACGGCTTTATGGCAGCTGGATCCCATTTTATGGAATCCAGACTTTTGGCTCACCGTAAGTATCACACGAATACGGATCACAACTTCTTGCAGAATTCTCTAGTTTATTATTCTTAGTCCTCCCGATCACTCTGATGGAGAAATCCAAGCCATCGCCTCTTCACGGTGACTTTCGTAATCCCCGCGACTCGTTGCGGCCGGCTTTCCATTCCGTGACTCACGCTCTTTGCGCCAACAGCGGAACTCCGGGAGGTAGCGGGAGATACGCAAGCAAAGTTATTGCCTGTTTTTGTTTTGTATTTGCATGCATAATATCACATAAGAGCTCAGTAACTTTCCCAGCATTGACAATGGGACGTTTGAATAGCTTCCGACTAACTTCCGACGCGTTCCGATTGCCCCAGGCTGCCAATCAGTGCAAGCTTCAAAGTTTTGGCCACTTACCGTGAGCTTCGCAAGATCTCATACATGATGAGGTGTTACTGAGATATTTCCTCTGATTTACCTACCATCCTTGGAAAAGCTCATATGAATGTGTGCAGTAAAAATCACTGGTGTCGATCTTGAAGTTTCAACGTTTCTTCTGTCTCCATGCATGCCACATGCGTTGCAAGAAACCACTACGTAATGGGTTTGTTGCTTTGCTGACTAAATTATGAGCGACAGTCAGCAAGGCACCGTCCCATGACATTTAATGACGCCACGTTCAGGCAACCTAGCGTTGGATTACCAACGTCATGTAGGTCTCTGACTTGGATCCCTGCAAGGCTGACAACTATCGGCATGTAGAACTGTCTACCGTTTGGGTGACATGATACGATCATCTCGTTGGCGCAGTACCCCTTTAGGAGTCGTGTTTGGTATATGCCAAGCCAGCTTGTCACGGAGATACCTCGTTATGAGTCAGCCTGATTTTGGACCGCGAGCAGTTAGGGGAAGAGACACTTATCAAGGCAACGTGAATATTTATAGCAAAGGCGGAACATCCCATAGTGATCAAGTCGACGTTGGTCGTCGGCATTCCACCCGGAACGCATATACCCCCAATTTCTCACCTGCCTTTGTAATGATGGCCGTATAAAATAACACTCCCACTAATAAGCTGTCCTAGTTCTGACTCCATCATTCGGGTTTTATGGCCTCAGCGACGCAAACAGAGAATTCCGGGCGCAAGGCTCCGCCGGGAGCATCATGGCAGGACCAGGAAGAGCTCGTTCTCCCCAAAAATCGATTGGGCATTGTATTTCTAGGCCTGATGTGCTCTGTTTTCCTAGCGGCTTTGGATCAGGTAAGTTCCCGGTGTGTCTTCAGAATCCATGTCCCTGATAGGCATCGGAGAGTAGACTATTGTCGCCACTGCACTCCCAACGATAGTAGCACAACTTGGTGGGGGTAGTCAGTACAGCTGGGTCGGCAGGTGTGTGCATTCTTCCCTTACTTTCGTAAATTGGTTGATGACAGTGCCGTTGCTGCTCAGTGCGTACATGCTGTCGGCCGGCGCTTTTGGCCCTCTGTATGGGAAATTATCCAATATGTTTGGTATGTACCTTTCCAGCTAACTTTTGTGTTTGTCACCCATCAACCATAATATGTAGGTCGTAAGCCGATACTCTATACTTCAATATGTACCTTTTTGGTAGGGTGTTCTTCCGTTCGTTTTCTATGCCCTGAGTGTTGTCTGAATTTTGTCACTAGCTTGGATCAGCGTTATGTGGGGCAGCCCAGAGCATGATATGGTTGATCGTTGCTCGTGCAGTACAGGGCATCGGTGGTGGAGGGATTATTCAACTTGTGATTATCACAATATCAGATATCGTTCCCCTGAAGGAGTAAGTTCTTAGCCACTTTCTCTTTCTTTTTCGGTTTTGCTTAGCTTTAATTCTTCACAGTCGAGGGCGATACGGGGGTTTTGTCGGTGCTACCTTTGGTGTGGCTAGGCAGGTATTTGTTCCTCTTGACACCAGGTTTTGCTGATTGGTATGCAGTGTCATTGGTCCACTGTTGGGCGGTGTGAGTCCTGGTTCTCAAGTGATTTTTCGTACCTCATTAGGATTGAATTCTGCAGGCCCTCACGGAACACGTTTCGTGGCGGTGGTGTTTCTTCATCAATTTGTGAGCATTCAGTAGCTGACCCAAGATTACGTCCATGTCCTAATTCCGCTTGTACAGGCCGACAGGTGGCGTTTCTGCAGTGATACTATTCATCTTCCTGAACCTCAACCCACACCAAAGTCGCCCTATCCACGAGCAGATTGCAGAACTTGACTTTGTCGGGCTCTTCTCTTTTGTCGGGGGTGTTGTGTGTCTACTTCTCGGATTCCAGTTCAGTCAGACAAGTTGTACGTGTTTCATCTCCTTGCAGACAGCTGGAACTAGAGGGGCATATCATCAGGGTCTGATGCCAAGACTATCGCTTTGCTCGTTGTTGGATGTACACTACTTGTTCTGGGAGGCGTCAATGAAGTATTCACCACACGCTCTGCAATTGTGCCTGCACGCCTTTTCAAGGTATGCAGTGACCACTATGCGACGTCCATTCAACTTACGGATTCAAGACTCGTACAACTGCAGTGTTGCTCGTCAGCGCATTTCTTCATGCTATTACGTTCTTCACCGCTACATAGTGAGTACTAATGTTCTGCATGTAGTATGTCTCACAAGCATCCATCGACCCGCTTTCAGTTATCTTCCACTTTATTATCAAGGTTCATGATCGGGTCACTTTTGCTTTCATGAATATGAACTGATACAATGCAGTCCTTGGTGCTAGTGCCACTGGTGCAGGAATCAGGTGGGATATTACTCCATGGAGCCTTCCCGTTCTGACCTAAGAATTCCTCTAGGATGATTCCTTTCTCACTGGGCACAGCTATTATGTCCATAGTCGCGGGAGTCATCAATTCTCGAACCGGCAAGTCCCGCCCCATAATATGGTCGGCGTATGCTATGATGACACTCGGATGGGGTCTCATGACTATGCTGGATTATAACTCAAACAAGTATGGGATACATTCTCGCAGTTGACTTCGTGGTCTCATCCAGGCACCATCCTCAGTGCGGAGAAGGAATTGTACCCATTCGTCGCGACCCTTGGTGTTGGGTGCTTATTCCAGGTTCCCATTATCGCTCTTCAAGCAGCAATGCCAATGAAAGACATGGCCACTGCTTCGAGTGCTTTCATGTTCCTTCGGTACGTCAGCGGTTACTGGCCGAAAGTGTGGTCGCCCCCTAATTTCTGCTGGTAGTACGGTCGGCGGAGCGGTCGGTATCTCCGTCGGTGAAGCCATTATCTCGAGTCTTCTTTCGAAGAAGATAGCGAGTATACCTGGAATAAGTTCATACGTCTCTGGATCTACCGCTGCACTGTTGAATGATGACGTCTCGTATCTGCATCTTATTCCGGTGAGTTTCGTTCTGGCTGGAGACTCCCAGGAGCCTTGATCATTTTGTAATACTTACCAACGTATTGCACAGGATGTCACCGTTCGTAATGCCATTCTGCATGCCTATTCCCGATCAATTAGTGCAATCTGGATCATGAATACGCCGATTTCAGGCGCTGCGTTGATTCTGATGCTATTCCTGCGGGAATACTCTATGACACGCAAGCTCGTGAGAAGTGAGGGGAGAAGTCCGAACGATGCTGAGATGGCGACTATAACGGAAGATGCAGAGTATAAAACAGAGGGGGAAGGGCACGGTGCAGATTTGACGCGAACAAACTCAATCGCTCTTGTTCCGAAGGAGGTTCAGGCCACATGAAAAGCATCAGGAAGCGAAAAAAAATGGTTTAAACCTGTTTAAACCCGTCACTGACTGGTCGTGACCGCGATTCCGTCATTCCCCGTCTCTCTGATGAGCAACTCTGATCTTGACATGCACATTTTTCTTACTGATAAGTATATACATCATATTTTATATGAGATCGTATGATCTCCAGCAACTAGATACGATAGCACGGATATTGGCCACTTGTTCATTTGGGACACCATAAATTTATGGCGGCTAGACCTCACTCCAAAGAATGCCGTGGAGAGTCTCTGCTTGAGAGCCACGCAGCAGACGGTACCCACTTGTAAGCATACGCTTACCACTACACCGCTCACGCTTTCTCGTCACGGTATCACATCTCCTATTGCGCCGTCTGGGCATGCGGATCCCCTCAGCTGTGTTGTGCTGTTTGGACTCTGGGGGCATATATATACTGGTGCTATCTGTATGCGCGGGTCATCATCTCTCACTGCGGAAACAGGTTTTTAATCAGGTTCGGGGATAGTCGGGTTAGTAATAATAGTTGTGCTATATGTCGAGGGAAGCCAAAGTTAATAATACCTTTGACTATAGTAGCTAAGTGTTCTTGTTTCCAAGTGTGGTCCCAACTTGATTCGCAAACTTATCACCATGGTAATCCTGACAATGCAGATAATATTCAGATCAGATTCGAGTGTGGTTATAGACTATGATATTGAGTTGCATTGTATTAATATCAATGATCCTCTCGACTTCAGTTGTGCTTTTCAGAATAGTAACATCAGATTACATTCAGTGTGCTCGCTATGATGACTGCTTTGAAAATGCTTTCCTGCCCCTGGCACCCCCCGAAAAAAAGTGTCCCACCTGTGTGCTTACTCGCACTCACCTCCTTTGCAAGTACTTGGTGTTTGTACTGTGGTACAGTACTATGTATTCCCAGAGACAACTGAGCAGCGGCGTGCAGCCTGGATTGCAGTCCTCAATGAGTCAAGAGGGTGTGACACGCAGGTGTCCTCATGTACCACAGACCCAAATGATGCCCTCAGGGCATCCCCAACATGGCCTTGGACCACAGAGAAACATGAGCGGCAGCACACAGCCTGGATTGCAGTCCTCAATGAGTCAAGAGGGTGTCACACACAGGTGTTCTCATGTACCACAGACCCAAATGATGCCCTCAGGGCATTCCCAACATGGCCTTCCATCTATACACAGCAGACTTGATGATCCATTCGCATCCAGGCCTGCTGCTCAATGAAGGGACCACGATGGTCCATCAGTCAGTACAAATCACACCTTTATTTATACTCCACTCACTTCATGCTTTGATTAAAGCTCTTTTTGCCAGAATTTTCCTTCCCACATCAGCTCCATGACACAATGGATCCCACAAGTCCCATTGATTCACTTGTTCCACAAGAGGGGTCATCTTATGACTATCAGGGAAGGGGTCAGTCAAACCAACCGCTCAAATTTACTTACCATAGCAGCGAGGGCACCCATAACCATATGTCCTTCTCATATGCCGGTGCATCTTCCCATGGTCAGTCAGTTGGTCAAGGGCAAAGTGAAACTCCTTTGGAAGATCATCAGAGTACTCTGTACTCAGCATCCCACTCCTGAAGTGCATCTTACCTGATGGAAGAGTCCAATTACAATCACACGAGCAACCAGAGTCTACATATGATGGTTGCCCAGCTAACAGCCAATCTGAAACATCTCAGTAAAGTGAACACTAACCTGGAGGACAAACTTACCAATATCAGAGAAGAGAACAAGTCCATCATCTCTCGTCTTAATGATGTCGAGGAGGTCCTTGCAGAGCTTTGAAGCAAAGTCATAGGTCACAAAGGGGCAACAAAGACGTGTTCAAACAATCATGTAGCTCTCAAGGTATGTATCAGCACTCCGTTCTTGCAATTGTATGTCAGTACTCACTTGGTACCATTAATTTTGAGTCCATTCTCCAACTGTTGTTCTGCCAGTTGTGCAGAATTGACTGTGATGGTAAAAAGCAGAATCGTGTTGCGGCCCTCACCACTATCAGGCCACTTGACAACAAACAAGCCTTTGAGATGACAAATGAAGGTGTACAGATTTGGCACCCGCACTGGCTTGGCAATGTTGATGATGAGGTGAATGCTAGATTTATCAGAGAAGTCGCCAAGTGTGCCTTTAATAATGAAAAGGTATTCTTCATAGCGATTGGGATTAATCATGTGTGCTCACCTGTGACCAACAGAGTCAGAGGGAACAAACCAAGATGAATTCCATACCCGACACATCCTTCACCCTACCAATAATCCTAGAGTGCGCCAAAACATATTTCTGAAGCATGTGTAAAAGGGCGAAAGAGCTTCATAGCGATCAAGGCACTTGCAAGTTTGAGGCAAGGCTTGAACATAGCTGGCAGCGAGCACAACGTATCACAGTAAGTATCTGTAGTTTTGACGAGTGATCATATGAACCCACCTGATACATTGTAGGTTGCTGCCACTCAACAGAAGGCTGCATTGCAATATGAAAAAGAAACTGGCAATGAGGGAGGAGGATCCTATGTAATACCATCAGCAAGGATATGAATTACACGATGACTTACTGAGATGGCTGAAACATGGGCATCTGCAGACCCCAACTTAACCCCACCAGTACCAATGTTAGCACCGAAGTTGACAACACACGCTTGAGTTGCACAAAAGGTATCATTGCCAAGTTCTGGTGACATTGTTGTTAGGGAGATTTCTATGGTCTGGTGTATGGCCATGAGTGGAAGACACATGAACAATAATTAGCCACATGTACCACAGGGCCTTGGGAGTTTGGCTTGAAAGAGAGCATAACATTTTGGATGCTGGTTGGGACATGAAGTTGAAGGATGTGTGGCCTACATTTGATGACTGTTGGGGGACCAACAAACTCAATTTTGTTGGCTTGTAAGGTTGGAACCATCTGGTTAGCATCAATATGGAACTTTTGGAGGTGAGTAGATAGGCTGGAGGACTTGAGTACCACATACCTTGGGTTGGTTCATGGTGTACATGGCAAACCAGTGAACTTGGAGACCAAGGAAAATTTTCGCAAAGTCCATTATTTTTTCTGAGGGGTGCAAGGGTGGTGTTATGCCCGAGCGCAGTGACTTCTTCAAATGGAATAGGCACAAAGCACGTGAGGTGGGAGTCTATGGGCCAAACTTGTCGTAACCCCTATGGCTGAGTTATTACAATAATCTGACAGAGGTTCTGTCTGCTGGTGAAGTCCAAAATTGGTTCGCATGGAGAGAGAACGAGGATTAGAGTAATGGGATGAAGCTCAGTTGCAAGCTATCGAAAAACTGCAGATACAGGATGAAGTACATAGGATTATATACTCCTAAGTATGAGTACCGTACCAGTCACGAGTGATGCATCGCGATGCGTATCTGCAGTAATCAACGAATTCATCAATGAAATAGAAAAGAGTCATACGGTGTCAAAGATGGGGGTAGGCAGGGAAATGAAGGCTATACCAACTGCGCAATCAATGTGCAGCGAGGAGCCAGACACCGGATCTATAGTACAACACATGAGTCAGGGAAACAAGTCATCGAACCAAGAAGTAAACATGTTGTCCATCAGGAGACAACGGGAGCGGATCTAGGAAGCAGTGCTGGAGGTGACAGGTATTGGAAATACCTCCACAGTTTGTGATCCAAGCATTCCTTGAAGCATCCAGGCCCCTAGGATGGCGACGGTTATTAGGGATGCAACTAGGCACGTGACACACGTGACTGCGAAGAGTCAGAAAAGGAAAGACCCCTGACAGAAGCATAACATCACCCCCCCTCTAAGGTCCTCAGACCCTTGAGGATGAAGCGGGAGCTGCATTGGAATGGTGGGTGGAAAGGGGTCTGCGAGTAGTATAGATGCAGGAATGCGTCCTAGTGGCGATGGGCGATGATGGCGATGGAGTATGCGGTTCCTCGAGGGACGGAGTAAAATGGGAGCCACATCTGTTCCGACACGACCAATGTCCCAGGTAACAACACTGGAAACATGCGTGTTGGTATAGAGGGTGGTCAGGAGGAACAGGGGACTGTCCTCTGAGGTAGAACCGAAGTTGATCAGTAGGGATGGGGATGAAGGGAGCCGAAGGGAGAGGATCGGCGGAGTGGACGGCATTAAAATAGTTTTTATGAATTCCTGCCCACGACGCGTCCTGGAGCAAAACCTCCCAAGAGGAGTTGTGAGTACCAGTACCGAGGTGGGCACCAACCTCTTTAAACAGCTCTCCTGAGTCCACAAACCCTAACTCCATAGAGCGCCACTTCTCTTCCTTCTCCTGATCTGTAAGATCCTTCTTAATCTCCGAAGCTGATGGTTCCTCTTGCTTCAGGACAATGCGATCAAGAAGTCGAGAAGCAGGTGGAGTGAGAAACTCACCAATTTGTTGTTGCTGTAAATGATGATATGCTCCTCCAGTTATGGCTTCGGTAAGATCCGAAGAAGCTTTTTCGAGCATGTTGATCATGATGACTTCCAACAGCGGAGCTGTACTGCTTAGCTTCCAAGTACAGATTTTTGATACCAGCCCATTGATTATGTCTGACGCTCTGTAGATTTTAGACAACATCCCAAAATACTCAACCTGTTCTGGTGAGCACCCATTAATGTTGTCCCCGTCGTCAAAGATGTCAAGTGCCCTAACAATGTCCAAGTAGTCACTTGCTGAGACTGGTAGTCACTGCTGGTCAAGCTGGGCAGTGGCAGCCGTTGTGAGGAGGTCAAGGGCTGCACGTTGAGCTGCTGTCGGAGTAGGTGGTGAAGGTGGTGTGTAGGTTGGTAGGTTCAGCAGCATTGGAGCTACTGGTGGCAGTTGCTGGGTGATTCGGGGTCATTGTCAGGGCGCGCCTTACCCTTTCCCTTTCAGTTACTGTCCTCACTGGGGAGGGCTCTGGCCTTGGGGGCGGGGACCCGATGCACCAAGAACCCCTTGAGTGGACGCGGTCCACTAATGTGGGAGACGGGGGGCGATACTGG